TTCCTGAGTGGTTCCGACAGCTCTTCTGGTTTTTATGGCTTGTTGTGCTGCCTCGCTGCAGCGTGCGTTCACGTCCTTTGGCTCTTGGTTTAATTGGCGGCTGGACGGATGCTTCTCGATCGGGTTCATTTCATTTTGGGTTGGCTTTTATTTATTTTTTTAAAGCTGGGATTCTTTTTATGTGTCTTGTGTTTATCATTCGACTCAGGCAGACCTCCCTGGAGGGGCAGGAGCCAAATTGTCTAACTAGATAAGCTAAATAATCCTCGGAGGAGCGGTGAGTCTCTTGGAACCCCGGTTGCCCTTGGAGCTCGGAATTCCACAGGAGACTGTTTGGTTCGTCAGTATGGAAGTAGGGTTGCCAACTCTGGAGGGAGAAATTCCTGGAGATTTGGGAGCGGTGCCTGGGAAGGCGAGGCTTGAGAAGGAGAGAGACCTCAGCCGGGGTTGCCAGATCTGGGTGGGGAAATTCCTGGAGATTTGGGAGTGGCGCCTGCGAAGGCGAGGCTTGAGAAGGAGAGAAACCTCAGCCGGGGTTGCCAGATCTGGGTGGGGAAATTCCTGGAGATTTGGGAGTGGTGCCTGGGAAGGCGAGGCTTGAGAAGGAGAGAAACTTCAGCCGGGTTTGCCAGATCTGAACGGAGAAATTCCTGGAGATTTGGGAGTGGTGCCTGGGGAGTGTGGGGTTTGGGGAGGAGAGGGACTTCAGTCGGGTACAATGCTGTAGAATCCACCCTCTAAAGCATCTGTTTTCTCCAGGGGAACTGATCTCCATCACCTGGAGGTTGGAAACCCTAGCTTCAGGGCAGATATGCTCTGGGTTCGAATGGCGGTCGTTCGAAATGCAAGGAGGGGGGGAACTGATCTCCAGGTCCCACCTGGAAGCTGGCAACCCTTGTTGATGGTCAGAGGTTGTGGTGGGGTGGTTGTCTTCTTTGACCTTCAATCTTTCCCAGCATCAGGGTCTTCTCCTCCAGGGAGTGCTTCCTTCTCATTCGGTGGCCAAAGGATTTGAGCTTCAGCTTCATTATCTGGCCTTCCAGGGAACAGTCAGGGTTGATTTCTTTTAGGATTGACTTTTTTGATCTTCTTGCAGTCCAAGGGACTCTCAAGAGTCTTCTCCAGCACCATAGTGGTGGGGGGGTACTTATATTTTAAACAGTTAAATTACTCTGTCTCAGGTCTGTGGTGCTTCTTGAGAGATGAGGATCTGTCAAGACAGGACGGTCTGTGTCCGCCACTTCTGATATTATACCGTGTTCAAACAGGGCTCCCCACCCCCCCACCCCCGTGGTCTGACCAATCACACTGATCCACCCAGCCTGCCTCAATCTACTATGCACCGTTACCCCTCCCCCACCACCTTAGTATCTAGCAGTGTCTGGTGCCCAGGGTCAAGCACACATACTTCCCACTGGAAAAGGAGGCCCCCGCTTAACGCAGTTACAAGCTTGCACACCTTTTTGCAAAGCGGCTCTCACACCCCCACACTCACCCGCTTGTAGACTCCCTCCCCCCAACTAGAATACCAGGAGACAGTAGGCATACAGAATGGGGGGGGGGACCAGCAATAACCACGGCAAACGAGAGCCGAGTTCGACACGCGGGCAATGACGATGGCAGACATAGCAAAAATGTTCATTCGGCTTACCACAGAGGAAAGAAAGGTGCTTATCTATTTACTTCATTTATACTCCATCTTTCTCTCCAGCGGGGACCCAAAGCGGATGATCTCCTTCTCCTCTCCTCCATTTCGGCCTCACAACGACCCTGTGAGGTAGGGTTAGGCTGAGAGAGTGTGTGACTGCCCCAAGTTCCCCCAGCAAGCTTCTAGGGCAGAGATGGAGGAGGAGGAGGTGATTGGATTTATACCCTGCCCTTGACTACCCAAGGGAGTCTCAGAGTGGCTTACAAACTCCTCTCCCTCCCCCTCCCCACAACAGACACCCTGTGTGGTAGGTGGGGCTGAGAGAGCTCTGACAGAAACTGCTCTTTTTCAAGAACAGCTCTGACAGAACTATGGCTTGCCCAAGGTCATCCAGCAGCTGCATGTGGAGGAGTGGGGAATCAAATACGGTTCTCCCAGATTAGAGTCCACACACTCAACCACTGCACCAAACTGGCTGGGATTCGAACCTGAGTCTGCGAGATCCTAGGCCGACCCCCTAACCACTAGACCACCGTCTCTCTGCCTCAGGTCTGGGCCAGTTCCTTGTCACCTCATGGCTGAACCAGGCCTCGTGAGAAAGTGCAGAGTCTTCCACTGCCTTTGTCTCCCTTTGGATGCACCTTAGATTGTAAGTTCTTTGGGGCAGAGCCCTGACATCTTATACTTGGTACAGCCCCATCGACGTCAGTGGCACTGTATTAATCGCGACAGCGCCCCCTGTCTCTGCATGAATCCACCTCGCTGTCCCTTGAGAGCTGCGTCAGAAGACTTCTAACATGTCCTCCTTTTTTTCTGGTGTCTGCCAAGCAAAGAACAAAGAGTGGTCTCCTTCCGGGGCGGTGCCCTGAGTGCGGAATACCGGGCTTCCGAAGCCGGCGTCGGAGGCCTTCCACAGTTCTGTCCTTTTTGCTAACAGCTGAGGCCGATTAATCCACAAAGGCTTTTGACTAATTATTTCCTGCATGCCCCTGTTTTGATTCATTCCTGCCGTTTTGTAAATCAACCGAGCCTGGCTTCGGTTGACTCGGCTCTTCTGTTATCTCCCGCCTTTTAATCGGCTGCTCTTGCTCAGTTTTAATTAAGTGGCGCTTTGGCACCCTTTACAGGCAGCCCGTAGATCACTTCAATAAAGCGTACGGATCCGTGGCCGCCGCTCCCCGAGTCGTGTCCTTTATTATCCTCATCTTCCTTTGTACGGATCTGGTCGTTCTCAAATTGTGCCCTGACCCTGATAGCCCGATATCGTCAGCTCTTGGGAGCAAAGCGGGGCCAGCCCGGGTCAGTACTTGAATGGGAGACGCCCCAGGATTTTGTGGCTTGCAGGGCAGATATTTTTTCTTTGGGTGGTGGTAAAGTGGGGCTCCGTGCAGAAAGAAAAGCCAGAATTCTGAGGATCACGGCTGATTCTACACCCGCCTGTTTCCTCGCAGTTTTTTCACAGCAACGTCGGGAGGTTGATCTCCCTCCACACGGCATGCCGCTTTCACTTTCTTTGTCCATCGGGGTTTATGGTACCTTCTGCATAGATTTATGGCCATTCAGGGGTGATTTCGCAGTCAGTACGGCATTGCCCCGCCCCCGGGGATATCTGAATGTGGTTTTGAGCGGCGCCTTTTCATTCCTCCGCTTCCGATTCGAAAGGAACAATAAACAGGCAGATTGACAGGGCTCCATTGATCTCCCTCAGTTCCCCCCCCTCTGCCCCTATTCCCCCCTCTGCATTTATCACCTCACCGTGAATTACTTGGCTCAGGTGGCTAATGACTGCTGAGGCAAGTACCGACACAGGAAAATCTGCATACCAGATTGGATGAAAGCAGATATTCTGAGGCAAGGGGGAACCAGGTCAAGTGCTGAGAAAACGTGGA